CTTTAAACGAAACGATGTCTGCAACAGAAAAAAGACATTTTGCTTGAAATTTAAATCCAATGAGATAATTAAAAAATGTCAACAATGACTTGAGGAAGAACTTCAAATGACGATGCAAGGAAAAAGCATTCTTCAAGGTGAAAAATTGACGGAATTTATTCCGTGGGCTGCTATATCTGATGGGCCTGGTTCAAATTTTTTTTAGTAAATTACAGAAGTGTTACACCAAAACGACCGTGTTTAACAAACACATGAAAAATAAAAATAATAAACCCGGGTCTCCTGGGTGAAAGCCAGATATCCTAACCACTGGACGACAATGGAAGGTCAAGCTAAATATTTAAATTTGTTAATTATTAATAATTTATTTTGTTTCTTACCACATTTCACTCAAGCTTAGAAGGAGATGGTGTACCAACTTAATCCTCTTTCTTCGGGAAATATTTCATTATTAATCATCATTGGGTTGGACAATGTATTAGTTCATAAATAAGTTGTAAATTTCATTGATCCACCAAATTGCTTCCTTTCCGAACGAGGCTGCCATCAAGATTTTAAACGATGCAACTTTGCTTTGATGGCGAAGCAGAGAGCTTTTCAGGTTTTCCTGCTATCTCTGTGGAAAGCGAGCAACTTAATGTTTTTGTGTTACATTAGTTATACGCCCTTTCCATCCAAGGGCATGTGAAGTAACTTGTTGAATTTGTGTTTCAGGACTATATCTTAGACTCACTGCTTTGAAAAGCGTTAAGCACCTTATGCAGGAACAATTGAATGGAAAATTGCTCCAAATACTCGCAACATGGTGAATTCTTTCCAATACCTGTTTTGAACCATTTGACTTCAATCAACTTTTAGAGTGACCTGACTGGTAATTTATATATCTTCTTCTGCTGAAGTTATTAGTTTTACAATTTGCCTAATCATTTCCGGGACTTAGTGACGTAGCAGAGAATCTTGTTAGTTTAGGATTGCTGTTGAACTGAAACTTTGGCTTTATATTACACCAATGATATATGTAACCAAATCATTGCTATCAGAGACGAAAATTGGCATGCTTGTAATCATATTGCTACTCCAATCGAATTTTACATATAATTCTTCTGGATTAACTTTACATGTATTTTGTGGAACAATTGAAGTTTTGACATGTTACTTGGTGGTCCAGTGTTCAGCTAATTAGTAGTGGATCTGAACATAGTTTTGTTAAGTTAGATGTGGCAAGATAAATCTAGTGTATAGAGTAACTAAGGAGTAACTTTAAATATGTCAAAGGTATATTTAATATTTTAGAATTTAAAGTTTAGTTCCTATATTTTTTTATTTTTATGAAATTGAGTTTTTGCATTATTTTTTATTTGAAAAGCTTGGTCTTAACTTTTGTTTATTTTTTATTTGTTATTCTTGACCTGATAGTTATAAGAAAGGTAAATTAACTTTTTTAATGCATTAAATTTACATTTTTTTTATCAATTTGATCCTTAAAATATAGTAACGTAGATGATTAAAAATGTATTTTTTAAATTTAAATTACGACATTATTTTATTATTTTTTAAAGGGTAAGTTTCAAATTGTTAAAAATTCTAAATGGAGTGCACTAAAAAAGTTATTGTCTTTTTTCATAACTGTCAATTCGGCAATTAGGGAGGATCAAGGTTTTCAAGAAGATAAAGATTTTTCTTATAAAAAAGTAGTATATAGATCTAATTTGGGAGAAAATGTATGAAGGACAATGATTTCCGGCACTTTTAACCTTTTTATAATTAAAGATGTTTTGTTGACACGAACCAATTTATTTAAGTAGTTAAAAGAATTATTGTTATTCCTTAGGGATGGGCATGGGTCGGGTTTTTGGTCCACCCGACCTGACCTGAGAACAATGAGTCCTCCACCCGAGACCCGACCAGGCCAAAACAAGTTTTCACCCGACCTGATATTTAACTTAAAAACCCGACCCGAAATAATAAAAAAATTATTTTTATTTAATAAAACTAATGACTTAATTGAAAAAAATAATATATAGAGGAGTATTATTGTAATTATTCATAAATATATAAGGTAAAATTATATATTTTTTCGGGTCGTGTATTTTTTACCCTAAACTTGAATTCGACCCGACCCTAACAACACATTTTAAAAAAAACCACGACCCGAACTCGATTTTTTTTAAAAAAAATCCGACCCGATCAGGCGGAACCCGTCGGGTTAGGGTCCCATGCCCATCCCTATTATTCCTAGATGTTACAGGTTCAAACATCAACTGTTGCAGTAGGGTGATAGAACGTTCATTGTCAAGTGATTGAGAGTATTTAGAACATATACTACTTTGTAACACCTTAGATTAATAAAAAAAATATGTTTGGTTGAAAATAAAAAATAGTTTTGATGTTGGTTGGACTGTGGAGGGTGTTTTGGTTAGGCTGTTGAATCTCAATTTTGGGGGCCATGTAATAACTATTTTCTCTGCTTTTGGGTCGTTATGTGCGGTTGGTTAGAACACCTTATGTGTCAACCTTGTGGATCCATAAGCTCAAAATCGGCAGAGCGCTCAAACATTGGTTTGGGAGGTTAGTGGTTCGAGTCAGCCTGGATCCTTAATTCCATATGTCTTCTAATTTCCATTATTCTTGAGATATGTCTATGCATAATAATTAAAATGTAATTTCTAAAATTTAAATGATGAAAATTCATAGAAGAAAGTTACCACTAGTTTAATCTTTATTTTTAGTTCTTTTGCTACATCTTTGTATCTGTTCATCTATCTCTATTCCTTTTATCTTTTATCTTTTGATATTGATATTCTTTTACTCATTTTTTTTTATTAATGCAGAAGTTTTTCTTGGTTATTATCAGCTTTAAATTCTATATATTTTTTTTGGAAAAAATAAAAGCAGGAAAATTTGGAAAAGATAAAGCTTTAACTGTGTGGATTGAGCAAGCACTAGGTTTGGCCAAACCTGTTGTGCTACTGCTAAGAAATAAGAACTTCTGAACTACTACAGCCCAAGTATTTTCTTTTACATATCAGGCTGATGCAAAAAGGCATCATCATTTTGCTCTCTCTCTGATGGCGTATGGGCGTTATATGTAGAATAAACAATCTTATACTTTTCCTTCCATTTAAATTTACAGACTTTTGGTATTACATGACATCAGATTTATCCCATTTACTTCTGAAAGTTTTAGCAGTTGAATCATGTTTCTTTCGGTTTTTTTTTAATTTGTAATTTGTGTGTCAACGTTTTAACCGTCACTGCTTTTTATATGAGTATTGTAACCTGTCAATGAATAGATCCCCACAGGGGGAATTGATAGAAAATTTATGGCAACTTTGATGAAAGTAATGCTAATCTATGGAAATGAAATGAAACCAGGTAGCTGCTTGGTCTCAGGTGTGGTTCAAGCATATGTCTCAGGTCTCATCCTAGTTTCCAAGGTGTCTGATCCTGCAGCACTATATGTGTCATTGTTTGCTGTTGAATATTAGTGAATACAATGAAATTATTTGGTTCAGAACTCTTGCTCTATTTTGGTTCTAAAAATTGTTACTTACGTAGACAGTAACTGTGTGGTGGTATTCTGGATGGGGAGAACTGGAAGCATATTTTCTCTGCAACCTTTTTGACTGTAAAGGTATACGGATCAAACTTTTTCTTTAAAAGCCAATTACCTGCTATTTTAATTGATTATTTCTGAATAATAACTCTCTCAAGTTTTGCAGTGTAATGTTGTCAGAGAGCAATTCGCATAACAACAACGAGAGTGGTTCATTGCAGCATGAATCCAAGGTAATATAGTTGGACCTGTTTGTGAACTACTTTTTGGGAGTTGTCTACTCAAATCTCCCTTTTCTGCTCTTCATCTTCGGAAAAATTTGCACTAGTAAATAAATTATCAATATAAGATCTACCTAATAATATATTTCAAAAACTTGAACTTTTTTTTGTCTTTAGAATGTTGTTGCTAGTTGGTTGATATTAATATTAGCTCTTACATAGAAATGCAATCAAATCAAGAAGCTTCGAGTTGTAGTCGAACCACTATGAGGGCACCATTTGAAATATTGTACTAATGCCTGCTTGAGGAGATACTAGGAGGGCAAGAAACTAGAAAGTTGACAAATCAAAGAGAATACTGGAAGATACGCTCAAATGGAGATCAACCTATAAGCCTGAGGAAATTCGTTGGGTAAGCTATCAAATTTTCTAGACTGGGAGTCAAAAACAGGTTTAGTTTGAAGAAAACCAGACCTCGAGTTAATTAACATGGCAGAACACCATATCGTTGGACAATCAGTTTCGGCATCTGGTGTATCTGATGGAGAATGCGATCCTAAACCCTTCAGTGGGTCAGGTCAAAAACAGATTGCAGACAAATTTAATAAATATTTTTCATTAATTTTTATAATAAAATTTACACTATTTTGTATCAAATCTAAATATTTTAACTAGTCAGAATGAGGTTTAATTTATGCTTCCAGTCCCTTTTGTATTCCTACATTTAAGATTTAGTTAATCTGTTTTTAATTTTACAAATTTAATTGCTTTGGTTGTTTTAATTTAATAATTAATTTAATTGTATACAAATCATAAGGATCGAAAGCAGAATTGGGGAGAAAACATGCCGTGTGTTTATTATTTTGTTTACTTAATCATGTCAATTTATTATTGATTCGTGAATCCAACTTTCGCGACTGAAATGAACTAGCCCGTTAATGACCAAAAAGTTTATGCATGTAATTAAAAAAAATGCATAACATGGAAAATTCAAGTATAGTTCATATACTAAACGTATATTTAACCCAAAAATTTATCACAATGCTAAGGACTAATGCTTCTCTGAACGCATACACCAGTTTTCTCAAAAACAGTGTTATTTACAGGGAAATACAAGTCATACAGGCTTCAACGTGTACCTACACAATCATTTACTTCCCCTATGTTTAAACTATCTAACACACTAACGGCAAAGCGACGCAAAATCTGTTGTAAACAAGACGGTGGTTTACATGCCATTGGATCTCGAGGGAGGGAGTGGGCTGTAATACCAATTTAAATGCAGGGTTTCAAATAATCCGCCTTTTCAAGGTACGAGTGGTTGCTTGGTAAGTACGAACCAACAAGCCAAATCCTATACCAACTCCGAGACAAACGCCAACACCGATCCCTACACCAACCCTTACACCTGCATTGAACCACGAGAGCTCACCATCTTCATTTTCCATGTACTCCGTCCTTCTCCAGAAGATATTGTTGTAGTCTTCATCATTCAACTGTTTGTAGTTTCTGTATTCTGATAACTATGATGGGAAATTGGAAAGTAAAGCGATGAGTTAGAGATGAGCTATGTGCTGTATTGTACGAACGAATCCAAGACATTCTCATCCTCAAAAAATAATAAAGAACGAATCCAAGGGATCCCAGAGAAGATAACTACGAATACAAATACCCAAAGCTTACATGAAATGCTTTTAAAGAGGGTTTCACACAAAGCATTCGAGAAAACATTTTTTTGGCAGCAAGAATTCAGTATACCCACTCAAACAGGAAGTTTCCTGCAAAGACCGACGCTTAAAGATCAATAGAAACTTTCTGAGGCAAGTCTTAGTACAGGTACACAAAGTAATTCTAATCGCATGTGTTGTTTTTTTTTTTTAAAAAAAAGAAGTTTAGCTAACAAGAAAGAAAAAGTAAACCTCATCGACCCTCATTGGTTGGCAAAGCTGCTATTAATCAAATACTCGATTGCAATGAAATCTATGAACACGGAATTTCCTTTAGCAGCGGAGGATGGCCGGGTACCCAAACAGTAGAAGAGCAAGAAACAGCCAGGGGAGGTGGCCTATACACTATAGAAAATCAGGATGGTTCTAGTGGGGCTATTGTCGTGGATCAGGCAAAACAATTTTACTGAAAAAGTACACGAGAAAAGGAAAGGATATATATCCCATCACTTTAGAAGTGTGGGTTGCCCATACGCTGATCACACATATAGGTTAAAGATTCTGTGTCCCGGTCCATTCCAAATCTTGCAAGTATGGACCATGGTTTGAGACAGAAAGCACGGGGCAGCGTTAAAACGGAGGAAGGAAACTAGCATAAAATAAAAACTTCACTGAATTTGAAATCAGAGCACTTGACCAAAGCTTATGAAGTCATCCTTAAACAAAACAGAACATGAGCTACTAAAACGGCAAGATGAAGAATACAGTGTCAAAGCATGGCTCAAACATAGCATATCTCGAACTCAGTCCACTAAAGTGAACATAACAGGCAGGGAATGGAATTTCAATAGTGAATTGTCAGGTATTTTACCTGCATATATCCAGGTGACATATCTTTCTGGCACTCAGTGCTCTTATATTCTGGGATTGCATCCAATGTTCCCTTGCGATTGTGCTTCTTCCGGTAATTAAGTTGCAATGTTTTGGTCAAAATGATTGGTTTTCCATAGAAGCATCCGGCAACATAAACCTCAATGGTCGGTGGAGATAATTTGGGACAAGAATTAAGCTTTCCCTTCAGGAAAACACTGCCAGATGTGATCTCTAATTCACAATTCATTCTCCATTGTTTCACAATATTTTTCGATCCCCCATTGAAGCCATTATTACCAGACTTTTCCAAAAGACCAGAGAGAATGGGACCCTTTTTATCAAAAACCTCGAATTTCACACTTCCTGTCAACTTAACATTATCTGTACCCACAAAGGTGATTTCTTCTGATCTTTTATCTACACGATCCCTTCTAAGGAGTACAGAGACTTCATCAGAGTATATGCTGGTTCTAATTCCATTAACTTCCAAAAGGGTGTCAGGTTCTAAGGGGATATGATTGAGAGTTAGAAACTCCGGAGTCAAATCATCAACTTGAAAATTGCTGACTCTAACATAAAAGACTCTCAAATCAAACCAAATTGATGATAATCCAGCACAGGGTTGGAACAGTGAGTGCCGAATAATCTGGTCACCATCTGCTACTTTACCATTTTCTGTTGTTTCATAAAGACCCTCCATGATTGAGGAGCTTAATCCTCACAGAATCCCTCCAACATCAATTAGAATCACAACAGCCGATAGAAAATGGTATTGAATTGCCTGTAAAAAATCTGTCATAATATTAGAAGAGTAATGCCACTATGCCAGTCAGATAATCACAAGGAATAAGTCATCCAAATCAGCTAGGTGCAAATCAAGGGCGAAGGAGGGGTACAAGAACAAAGAGTATATGAGCAAAATCCAAGGGAGAGCTTAATAATAGGGTTCCAAGTAACAATATAAATAAATGCCAAAAGCACACATATGATCATCCCCAAACAGTATTATCTCCACACGGTGGAAAGAAGATACGTTTCCAAATTTACTATGTCTATATGATCATCCCCAAATAGAGATAATTGAAAAGTCTAATTTTTTTCCCTTTGAAAAACACCCAATTAATTGTTGAATAACCCCAAAATGATAAAAAGCAAAAAGGAAACGAATTCCTATTAACTTGTATGAATTTTCCATTAAACAACAGAAGAACTAAGACAGACAAGTGGAAATTTAAAACTATCAACTTGTAAAGAATATTCATCATTTGGGAATTGAAAAAAAAAAGAATCCACCAGCAGTTTCCCAAGGGGGTCCTACAGATAAACAAAACAGGAATCGGCTCTCTCTTATCACCAAGTTTGGAATGACAGCAAAACAATAGGGTCTAATTAAAGAATTATTGAGTCTTCAATCATCTTGTTCTTCCGAGAGAGAAGGAAAAAAAAAGAGAAAAAGAAGAGCTTTTAAGGCTAAAAACTAGCTTGGCACTTGTGTAAATATTAAAAACACACGTCACACAACCGGTCAAAGTTATTAAAATATCAGCTTCTTTAGGAACACAGAGCACCACAAGCGTAAAAAGGAGTTTCCATTTGATGAAAATAATCTACCGGGAAAATTTTCCATCCGCAAAAATTCCACTCTTGCACAACTGTATTAGTTGTTTTCTATCGATCGAAATAGACCCTACTTTTCTAGCTTCCAGCTAATGACCCCACCCCAAAAATCGCTTTCAAACTCTAAGATCAAAGCTTTTGATTTCCATATAAAAATACTGCAGAACTACATGACACTTCTAGCCTTGTATTATTATTACGGCTACACAGATCATCAAAATGGGTTGTCTCAAATACATCTTAAAATTGAAAGAGATTAGTTGTTGGAAATATTGTGGCTACCTCTGACCTGCGCTACCTATGCATCATTATTCGAGTATGATATCGATGACCTTATCCGATTAGCAGCCGCAAATTTTTGCTATTATGAGGCTGGTGGCATTTGAAAGGGAGGCTATTTGATATAACTGATATTAATTTTTTTTAATATTTTTTTTTGATATTGTTTGATCAATATTTTTTGAAGTAGCACTCTTTCTGTTGAGTTGGCAAAGACGCGTTTTCGGGGATGTGCTTTACCCGTGTTTTCGCTGAGTTGGATGCCACGTGTGGAAGGCGCATCCCCGGGGACGCGCCTTCACTGACTCGACTGCCACGTGTGGAAAACGCATCCCTAGGAACGCGCATTCTATTAAATGTCATAAATGCCCCCATCCGTTTTTCCTAACTACCCCTCCTCCTCCCCTATATAAACCCCCTCAACCCTCCCTCATTCTTTACACTAAAATCATATTCTCCTCTCTTATATAACTCAAATTCTCCAACTATTTGAGTTTTAAATTTGTTATTAGTAGTAAGAAATTTATTTTTATGTTAGTATTTTTTTAAATAGTTATTATTTTTATATTAATATATTTATGTAAATATTATTTTTTTATTAAAATAATATTTATATAATTATTATTTATTTAGAATTATTAATTTTTTTTGCTAATTATATTGTTTTGTCTACAGTTATAATGGAAAACGAAATGCTGTTGCGATTGGATATTGATCATATCTCCAGACATTTTAGCGATATGGTAATATTTTTTATAATTAATGTTAATATTTAAATTTATTTTTATTTTAAAGTTATTATGAATTTATATTAATTTTTATTTTTTATAATGTATATTATTTAGGATACTGATCGTATTTTAGAGACTTTTATTAAAAATCCACGTATACCGACACCGGAACGTATTTTGCCATATTTGGCTTCTGCCGGGTTCGGGTATATTGCAACAATTATAGGCGGTTGCAAACTCGAACCTGTCCTAATTTCTGCACTGATTGAGAGGTGGAGGCCCGAGACACACACTTTTCACCTTCCATGTGGAGATGCGACAATTACATTGGAGGATGTCTCTATGCATCTGGGGCTTCCCGTCGACGGAAATATGATGTGTGGTATGGCGGATGGTGATTGACAATCTTGGAGCTGCTCCGCCAGAGTTTAATGGAGGTAGAATAGCTTTATCTTGGTTGAAAGCTAATTTTGAGGTTTTAAATGAAAATGCTTCAGAGGATCAAGCAAAGGCATGTGCTCGGGCATATACGAATAATTGGAGGAATATTGATGCCCGACAAATCTCGCAACCAGGTGCATTGTATGTGGTTGCGGCATCTGATCGATTTTGATGAAGCTGGAAGATATAGTTGGGGCGCTACAGTTTTGACATTTCTCTTTAGAGAAATGTGTCGGGCGACGAATTATAAGAAAACTGCTATCGGTGGATGTCTTCTGCTTCTACAATCATGGGCATGGTTCCGCATGCCTTTCTTATGCCCGATCGTGAATAAACCATACGTATTCCTCTTATTGTTGAGGTAATTTTCGAACTAAATTTTGATTTAAATATTTTCAATTAAATAGGGTGATATTTAGTTTATATTATATTTCATATGTGGTCGATGAAAAGAAATGACCATAAAAGTATACCTACTGGGTTAGAGGAAATTCGTTTACTTATTGATACGAAAGCTGGGTCTGAGGTATGTTTTTAAATTTGTTTAATTATTAATATTTTAATTTAAAATGTTAGATATAATTAGAATATTTTATTTATTTGAATTGTATATTTATATTTCAGTTTCAGTGGATACCTTATGCGAGCGATGAAGTGAAAGCTTGCATCCCACCCCACCTTAGTGGGTCATTAGAGGTATGGATATCGGTTATACCTCTTATATGTTATGTTATTATTGAGTGGCATCCAGTTGATCGCGTGCTCCGTCAGTATGGTTGTACGCAATATATTCTTGGAGCTCCTAGGAATTTAGACGACGTGCATAACATAGATAGACGAGGAAAGAAATATGTTAACTGGGTGGTGAGACACAGAGATTGGATTGCGCTTTGGGAGAACCGATATACACTGTTGGCCCCTCGACAATATTACGCTGAAACTGGTCATATTGTTACGGATAACTATATGGACTGGTTTAATGAAAATGGGAAGCCGTTTCTACTTTCGGCGGAAGCACGAGGGGTTAACATTCCTAGGCGCCGAGAAAGACGGCAACCGTCTCAATATCATCGTCCCCCGACGCGTGGACGGAGAGAAGGCGCTACCGGTTCTGCATCAGTCCCACCACAACATCCTTATTCGTCGATGCCGCAGGGGTACATGCCCAACCCTTCACTTCATATACCAAGCCCACCAGTTTACATTCCGAGCCCGCAGGGTTACATTCCGAGCCCGCAGGGTTACATTCATAGCCCGCCAGGTTACATGCCTAGCCCGCAGGGTTTTATACCATATGGAGGTGCATATACGACTATGTTTAATGATCCAGCATATGGTTCATATGCATCTTATTTAGCTGGTGGTGCTTCTCCGCAGACACCTCAATCTCCATCTGGATCACAGACATCGATGCCAATGTTTCCACAGTCTTCACAGTTCCCGGGGAGCGGTGGGATTGTTACTAGCACTCCTCCAGGGTCGTTATTTTATACAGGCCCTTCAGCCCCTTCAGCGTCATCTACACCAAATGAAGAAAATGCTGCTGATGATGATAATGAAGATGAGGAGACTGAAGAACAAGTTCCACGAAGAAATCCTCCACAAAATAGACAACCACCGCCATGTGGAACTCATTCGAGAAGACGACATCGGTGATCCAGTTGTATTTAATGTTATTTAAATAATTATATTTCAGAATTTTATGTAATTTGGTTATGTTATTTAAATGTTTCATGGTTGTTACATACATATTTTTTAATGTTATTTTTTATTCACATTTAACATTAAATGTTTGATAAATTTTTTTAAAATACAAATTATATTATTCAAAATTTAAAATAAAAATAAAAATAATATTATTCGAAATTTAAATTTAAAATATAAATTATAGTATTCGAAATTTAACATTAAATTTCAACTTAATATTCCAATTGTATTCGAAATTAAAAGTTATATTCCAATTATAGTTCACAATACTTAAATTGAAATTAAATTTATCCATATATATGATTTTATCATTAACATATATATTAAAACGTATACATTAAAATCAACTTATGTTGAGTTAATCGATCGACGGAATCGGCCAAGAGGGGGGTAAATTGGCAATTTATTCAATGCCACATTTCAATGCTCATTCCATACAATTTCAATGTCACAATCAACTTATCACTTCACATTTATTCAATTTATCCATAACATTTTATCTAATTTATTCAAACTTCACATAACGTTTTAATTTAAGTTATTCTTAACTTACTGAACTTTCAAAAGAGGTTAAATTTTGGTTATAATTTACCTGATTTACTGATATATCTAGTGTCCCCGAGGGACATGAGTGACATAATAGGGCAATGATAACATATTCTATGACAAAATAATGGAAGGCGCGCCCCCGGGAACGCGCCTTCAAGTCCCCTGAGAAATAATAGGTACTGATATGAATAATGTCCCCGAGGGACATGAGTGACATAATAAGGCAATGATAACATATTCTATGACAAAATAATGGAAGGCGCGCCCCCGGGAACGCGCCTTCATGTGAATAGTGAAATAATAGGTACTGATATATCTAGTGTCCCCGAGGGACATGAGTGACATAATAGGGCAATGATAACATATTCTCTGACAAAATAATGGAAGGCGCGCCCCCGGGAACGCGCCTTCATGTGAATAGTGAAATAATAGGTACTGATATATCTAGTGTCCCCGAGGGACATGAGTGACATAATAGGACAATGATAACATATTCTCTGACAAAATAATGGAAGGCGCGCCCCCGGGAACGCGCCTTCATGTGAATAGTGAAATAATAGGTACTGATATATCTAGTGTCCCCGAGGGACATGAGTGACATAATAGGGCAATGATAACATATTCTCTGACAAAATAATGGAAGGCGCGCCCCCGGGAACGCACCTTCATGTCAATAGTGAAATAATAGGTACTGATATATCTAGTGTCACCGAGGGACATGAGTGACATAATAGGGTAATGATAACATATTCTCTGAAATAATGGAAGGCGCGCCCCCGGGAACGCGCCTTCATGTGAATAGTACTCCGATTATAGACACTATTATATGCAACATATTATAAACTTTCAAAACAAACTTCAGTTCACAAACTTTCAAATTCTCAAATTTCCAAACTCTAAATTCTCAAATTCTCTGAAAATGAGTCGTCTTTCTGCTGTTGTTTTGTATGATGGACTAATTAAGGAAGCTGAAGAGGGGGTTATTTTTGAGTCAGATCATTATATCCCCTTAACCTTGAAGAGAAACATCACAGTTGAGGAGTTAATCACAAAAATTTCGTTAAAGATTCGTGTAGCAAGCCAGAGAAGACTATCTTCACTTCAGTATAGATTTCCTACTGAACTTTTTCCGCTCACGTATACATCATTTCAGCTTTCAAACGATGATGATGTTTCTATGATGGTTGATGCTCATATGGGGAGTTCACAATCTCTTATTGAAATGTATGCCACTTTTATTGAGGTTTGTGTAACTCGTGGTCTCTCATATTCCTCTCACTTTGGCATTGCATATCAAACTGATCAAGTTGATAGCCCGACACAACTGATCTGTAATGATTTCACATCATTAATGGCGGATCCAACGCCAGATACCATGCCATCAAGTTCAATAGGAAGGCATTCATCTACAACTGCTTATGATCTCAACCCACGTGGCTTCACCAATAATCCATAAGGAAACATCTCTTCTACTTCAAGGGGCAGACATTCATCTGCCAATGTTTTCGACTTACATATGGAAATGCCAACGAGACGACAGTCTATTCACATCCCACATGATACAATGGCCTCAAGTTCAAGGGGAAGACACGCAAGCGGGAACTTATTTGACCTCAATATTGGATTATCGGAGGAACCCTCATCTCCACCAGAAGAACCTCTTCGGGAGCCAGGTGCAGATGGTGCTGTAACGGGATTATTCATTGAACCTGACTCACCACAGTTTAACGTATATTCTGATGATGATGAGGATGACGTTCCGATAAATACAACACTAGCCGAACTTCCTGCACATATGTATGAGGCTGATTATGATGCAATGTATGAGCCTGAATTTCCAGATCTTCCTGATGTTGGCAACTATGGACTTCAATCATCAGTCAATGACGGTAATTTACATATTGGAATGGAGTTCGCATCGAAGGAGGAAGCAATGATGGCAATAAAGAGTTACAATATTCGTAACTCAGTTCAGTCCCGAGTTGATCGATCTAACACGGAGAAATATGTCTGCTACTGCGTCCAACGTGACAACGAATGTCAATGGATGGTCCGTGTATCAAAGAGGAAGAGGAAGAACAACTTATGGGAACTAACCAGATACAACGGTCCTCATACATGTTGTGCAACAGGTATAAACCAAGATCATCCCAACTTGGACTCCAACATTATTTGTCAAGTAATCATGCCCATTGTGAAGCAAAGCTCTCATATAGCTGTTGCAGTGTTGATTTCTGCTATACAGTCACAATATGGGTACACTGTCTCATATAAAAAAGCGTGGTTGGCAAAACAGAATGCCATTTGCAAACTTCATGGCGAATGGGATTCCTCTTACAACGAGCTGCCCAGTTGGTTTCATGTTGTGCAAAGACTTAATCCTGGGACAATTATTGAGTTCGAAACTCAACATCATTACGTGAATGATCGAATGGTTCGCGATCGCTGCCAATTTTACCGTGTCTTTTGGACTTACCCTCAGTGTATTAATGCAGTCAAGTACTGTAAACCAGTTGTCCAAATTGATGGTACTTTCCTGTATGGGAAATACAAGCAAGTTTTATTATTGGCTGTGGTCCAAGATGGAAACCGCAATATTCTTCCTGTTGCGTTTTCCCTCGTTCAAGGAGAAGACACTGAGTCTTGGGCTTTTTTCCTTAAAAATTTACGTTTACATGTTGTCACCAGGGAACGAGTATGCATTATTTCAGACCGAGGAGCCGGGATAAAAGCATCAATGGACTCTTTGGGTACAATGTTTAGACCTCCACATGTTCAACATCGTTATTGTGTCCGTCATATTGCTACAAACTATTACGGAAAATACAAGAAGAACGATGAACGTCAGTTAGTCGTGCGGATGGGTATGTTACTTTTTCCCAATTTTTCTATCAATTTCTTATTACTTATTTATACTTCATATTAACTATTACATATTCCTAATGGCTTAGGTTACGAACTCTTACCTCAAAGGTTTGAGTCGATGCTACAAGAGCTATTTGGAAAAAATAAGAAGGGTGCGAGTACATTATGGACATCAGCAAAGAAATGTGGACAAATGCATATGACGGGGGGTATCGCTATGGTCATATGACAACAAACTTGGCTGAAGCAATAAATTCAACCTTAAAGGGGGCGCGTCATTTACCAGTCACTGCGTTGGTTAAAACGACTTATTTTCGTTTGGGTCAACTCTTTGCAAAGCTCGGTGGACAAGCTCTTACTTGGATGCAAAACGGACATATTTACCACCCAAGACTAGTAGTTGATTTACAGAAAAAAGTGGCTGCATCAAATGGGATGTTAGTTACAAATTTTTCTCGCACCCGTGAATTGTTTCGTGTAACCGAAATGCCACGTCCGCTGCAAGGGATTGAAGCTAACTCTTTCAGAGTTAATCTGCAAGAGAGGTGGTGCGATTGTGGTTTCTTTCAAGCACTCAAATATCCATGCTCTCATGTCATTGTTGCTTGCTCACATTCGCATTTGGACTACAAAAATTATGTTGATCCCGTATACCAACTTTCACAAGTATTCAAGGTATATGAATTTGAGTTTCCGCCCATAGGAAACGAAAGAGACCCAAATGAGATTCAAACTTGGCTTACAATTGTACCAGATCCATTGCTATTGAGGGACTCAGGTCGTCCAAAATCTACTAGAATACATTGTGATATGGATATTCGGGAGAAGTCAACAGAACAAAAACGATGTGGGCATTGTAGAAACATCGGACACAATAGAAAAAAATGTCCAGCTCTGTTATCATCATATAACCGTTAACTCTTATGTAATTAATATTGTATTTAAATGAATGTTTTTGTTTCTAATAATTTAATGTTATTGCATTTATATAATTTGTCAATGTATGTACACCTAAATAATTTTTTTAAACTTTTAAATACATAAATATATTTAATATATTTATTTAATATAATAATTAATATTATTAGTTATAATTTTTTTAAAATATAATAATAATTCCACTTTCTAAGTAGAGAAAAATATTAAATTAAACAAATTAAAAGTTATTAAAAAATTTATGTATACGATGACACATTTCATGTTCTGATTGGAGGATTAAATTTATTAAATTAAATTTTCAATAAGACTAATTTTATAAAATATGTAAGTCTTGAAGATTAAATATGTAATTATACTAATTTATTAACTTATGCATCAATATTTTCGTTAAATATTGATATGAGATGACTAGATTGATAACATTTAAATAATTAACTGATAAAATTAATAGATCGATAATCAAAATCAAAAATAATATAAACCATATGTGTAATATTATAATTTCATACATTTTTCCTATAACTACAATAAAGTCAAAACTGGTTTTCATATATTGTTATATCATATTAATGTATATAATTCACTTCACCTTTAACACACATTAACAAAATACATTTGATAATTCTTACATTATAATCGAAACATTTACATAATATATTTTAATTTATAATAATAATAAAAATAAAATATTTATTATTAAACAAAATACGTGGCAGTCGAGCTGGCGAAAGGCGCGTCCCCGGGGATGCGCCTTCCACACGTGGCATCCAACTCAGCGAAAACACGGGTAAAGCGCATCTCCGGGGACGCGCCTTTGTCAACTCAGTAGAAAGGGTGCTACTTCGAGAAATATTGGTCAAACGGTGTCAGAAAGGGAATATTAAAGAAAATTAGTGTTAGTTATATCAAATAGCCTGAAGGGATGGCCTTACCTGCCCTACCCCGCCCCACCTTGCGGGCCGTCTGAGGAGTAATCAGCAGCTATGTCAACGTAGTCGTTGCCTGTTGTGCCATGAAATCATCGTCGGAGTTTAATGTTAGAGACGTAGCCTCCTCAGATTCATTGGGCCTCAGTTCTTAGGACTTCAAAAATCAAGCCTTTTAACATTATAAAAAAACCAATACTTAAAAGAGAAGATTCGGTTAAATAAGAGAAGCCCAATTCTTGAAACCAAGAGACCAAAACCTAATACCCATTGTCTTGCAAGGAAGAGAGGGGCGGACAGCCAAGGAAATCCCAGTATTTGTCTGCAAGAAAAAGTAGAAGGGGGGACAGATCATCGAAAGACAACAATTGTTTTCTGACAGGGGCTCTTTCGAAAGCTCAACTCCCGCGCTTCTTGGTCTTTCAAACGACTGTGGAAGTCACAAGAAAATCTGAACACCAAATCCTAGATTCTTCTATAATCTTAGATTCCAGGTCAGCATCTTTGTCTACTCAATGCGAAAGTACTCCTGCCGGCTTACTTTGTATTTTATATCGATTTTTCTCTACCCTAATTGATCTGTATCATGAAATTTTGAAATGGGTTTTGAGTTTCAAATCAAGGAAATGCAAGCTTAAATTCTTTGTAGTGGAACGTTCTTTTCTTCTCGGGGATGCATTTTGGGGTTTTACTATCTATTTATTGTGGGGGGTGTATTTCCTTTTTTTTTTGGGATTGTAATTAACTAGTAGTTGAATGCAGAAAGAAAACTGACAGTTAATTTTTGAAAGGTGCGGTGCAGTCAAGGTTATTCTTGCTCGGATTTGTATTATGGCGTACCCTGGGCATCATGGTGCAGAGAGAGAGATAGTTCAGGTTAACCCTACCCCAAGAAAGCCCAGGATTTTACTCGCAGCTAGTGGAAGTGTAGCTGCCATAAAGTTTGGGAATCTCTGCCATTGTTTCTCAGAATGGGCAGAAGTTAAAGCAATTGCCACGAAGGCTTCTTTGCATTTCATTGACAGAGCATCACTTCCTAAGGATCTTAAGCTTTACACTGACGAGGAGGAATGGTCTAGTTGGGGGAAAATAGGTGACAGTGTTCTTCACATCGAGCTCCGACGATGGGCTGATATTATGGTCATTGCCCCATTGTCAGCAAACACCCTTGGCAAGGTAACATTATTTGGCCACGTTTTGGTATTTTTTTGTTCCTGTATGTTGTACCTCGTATTAACTGTTGAAAGGACGCTAAACATTATATGTTCGTGTCAATGAAAAGAGCATTGGAGACGTTTGGAGAATGCGATAAAGTCTCCTAAGTTGAGTGATTTGGATGCTTTATGTAGCTGTAAAAAGATCCAAGTACTAATTTGATTCTTTATGTCAATTATATTTTTGGTTGACCATGAGTTCACAATTTTGTGCTAAGCAGAAAATTAGTTTCTTCTGCTGTCATATGCTTATTATATTCCCATTTTGTGAAGCAGGTTTGTTGCTTAAACAATCATATTGCTTCTTCTCTTGAGCATTTTCTTTTTCATCTTTAGTATCTGCTATTGCAGATTGCTGGTGGATTATGTGACAATCTGCTAACTTGTGTCGTACGAGCATGGGACTATAGCAAGCCAATGTTTGTCGCGCCGGCTATGAACACTTTAATGTGGAGCAACCCTTTCACGGAAAAACATCTCGTCACAATTGATGAGCTTGGAATTTCTCTCATCCCACCTGTCTCAAAGCTACTAGCTTGTGGGGACTATGGGAATGGCGCCATGGCAGAACCTTCTCTAATCCACTCAACTGTAAGACTATTCTTGGAGTCACGACCTCAACCAAGTTACTGAAGAACCTGTTTATTCGCGATGAATAACAAACACTCTATTAGTTGTGTCGTAACCCATTTGATTCAGTATTTGAGTGTGTTTCTGTTAGCTGCAAAACAAGCTTAGTCTGTATATTTATACAGCAGGAAACCTGACCTTGTAAGTTGATATTTGATGATTTGCAGAATCGTAATATATATATATATATATATATATATATAGATTAACTATTGTTTGTGCCCCCCCACCCCCCGGCCCCAAAATTTACTGAGCCACAAAGATTGGCCGTGTGGCGACTGGCGACACAAGTGGTCACACTGAGAGACAGCGTCTGATTTCTGAGTCAAAACCACTACACATTTAACCATGGTTATCCTGGCCACACCTGTTAACAAACTGATACTGGTTTTAATATTTATCCGATCAATATTATATATCTTGTATTGTTCCATATCGAACGTAGTTATTTCTTTTTCCATTATTTTTTTAGTTTTCGGACTTTTTTTTGTTCAACAAAATAAAATAAAATTTTATTGGGAGTGAATGAAAAAGTCTCCTGCTTGTCCTTTCTTCTGCTGCAAAAGAATAGTGTATATATTTTTATATATACACAGACGCATAGGGATGAAAGAATAGGGTTGACAGATAAAGAAAAGTAATTTTAATGGCTTTTTGGGTATTGTTTATTCTTTGCAAGTAGGAGCAATTACTACTGCTATTGGTATTTGGTTGTAGATTATAAAGTATATGGAATAATAGAGAATTTGAGGAAAAGAAACGAAAAAAAAAAATGAAGAGATTGTATTAATGGGGTTTCCAGAATCTTGATATTGGTCAATTTGTTTTAGGGTGTTGTATAAAAAATGCATATCTAGGGGCATTCTTTGAATGAATTCTTTTGGATTCAATAGACAGGCGTCCATTAAAAAGGATAGCAACTTAAAAAAAAAGCCATTGGAGATTTTTGATGGTTTTATTTTGAATGAAAGCTTGTTGATAAGGAAAGATTGATGGGTAAGACGAAGAAGCCTCAAAAAACGAAGCAACTTTCAGTAGCATTAGCTGAGGCTTCATCAGCAGGAGAAGAAGCACAACAACAATCTCAGCCTCAGACTCCTAGAAAGAGAGGCAGACCACGAAAGATTGTAGAGAGAACAGAAAGTGAAGAAGTAAAAGAAGAGGAAACAGCTGAAGTTACCGAGAGCCAATCAAAGAAACTAAAAACTTCTGAGGAACAACAACAGAAGGATGATGATGATGAAGAAGAAGAGCCGCAACAAGAGCAAAATCCACAGGTAAAGGCAGAGGCATCATCAGCTTCGATGGGAGGCCCGAAAAAAGGAGAGGGACAATCAGTATCACCGAAGGAACCTCCAACAAGGAGAACAAGGAGAACAAGAAGAAAAAGCAAACCCAGAAAGAGCAGCTAAAATTGCTTCAATTTGCCTTAATGAAGTCTGGTAAATCCATTTTTCCTTCTTGTTTACTACACACTTGTATGGTATCTCCAAGAAAGGAAGATTAAAATTATTTAGCTTTTCATGTTTGAGTAAGGTGAAGTTGAAATTTCCAGGTTTCATGATGAAAGCTTCTTCGTTTCATCAAATTTATTGCTCTATTCATCTGTTCCAAACGTGGACACAAAAAAGCATTATGCAAAAGGCTTTGGTTTTTCTTTTCTTTTCTTGATTGCAGTAACTGGGCTTTCTTAACCATCTTTTTTATCCCATATATTTTTCTGTGTAAACAAACAAAGATTGAAAGTAGGAAAGATAGCTTTTATTCTTATACCATTACATAATTTACCATTACATAATTTTTATTCTTATACCACTACATGAATTAAATCAGGTTAAATTGAAGTTGTTTCAACTATTAACATACATATTTTTCTTGTTAAACTATTTGCTTTTATTCTGATTATTATTATTACTAGTTTAGTTGACTGTATGCTTTTTTTTTCTTTTCCATGTTTATAATACTGAGCAACAAATAAGAACTTATTACTTAAAAGGGGAAGAAAGACTACTGTATTAATAATAACCGGAGTGGCAAGTGAATACAGAGTTGGTATAGTGGCGCGTGGGATTAGTTTCAATTTGAGGCACTGCTGGTGGACAAAAGTCAAAACACTAGTCTAGTTATTGCAGGAAAAAGCAGCAGCAACAGCGAGAGGCGAAGAGTTTTTGCCACTTTCCACACCCTGACGCGCTCTTGCCCGTGGAACCCCCTTATCTGTACCCTGCACAGCTTTTTGTTAAATAATCCCCATCAGAAAATCTCAGCAAAGCCACTGTTTGATTGAAGTTGCCCACTGAACAGAATCTCTCGCCAGATCATTCTAATCTCAAACATATGTTAAGGATAACCCTGGCTTAATGTTCACTGGGGCTTCGCTAGAATGGAAGATTGTGATTGTTTTTCCAAGTACAGTTTTCATGCTTAGAAACACTCTTTGGCAATTGGCACCAAATAGATTAGTTCAGTTGATTTGAGATCCATTAATGCATTATCGAGCATTAAGATTCAAGTCTGGCTAGCAATCCAATTTGCAGAGTAATTTGTAAATATTAGTTTTAACCTTCTTTGAAGCATGTGGGATACTAATTTTAGGCTACAAGAGCACATGCCAAAGCCAAAAGCTGAGCTGAACGTCGTGATGTTGCTAAGCACTGTTTGTAGGGAAAATATGTTGGATGTAAGTATTAACTAGTATGACGGTGCGGTTGGGCTCCAACACAGCTCTTGCTGTCATCCAATCACACGTTTGAATGATTTGATTTAACATTTCCAGGGCCGCATTAGCCAATATGGTTATTGTTTGATAACATCTCAACAACAGAAACATATGGAAGGAATAATAAAGTAATCTGCAATCGTTTTTTACCATAAAAATGAGTGATTGGAAAATGACAAGTCAGCCATCTTTAAGATTATAGTGGGAGATTAATTTAGAAAATAAAAAAAATACGAGCTAGTCAGACAAAAGGGACATAACATTAACAGGAACGATGAGGACATTTCCCAGTAGGAACATGACCCACATCTTAAAGTCTTGTGCTGCTCGACACTATCCAAGTCTTGTACTTGGCTTTTAATTGTGCTTTCCATTTTCAATTAATAGCATTCACTGTCGTTGGAATCAGGTTTAGGAATCGGACTTTGAGCTACAAATTTAAAGCAATTGATTCATATAACTATAAATGTGATGTTTAATAACCCAGGTTTTGAAATTTTGCATAACTCTATCCTCATTTGTACTAAAAACACATAACTGAGCCACTTGCATGAGCTCGACAGGTGAAATGGCTGAAGTCAATTGTTTTCGGGGAAGAATAAAGGTACGGGCAGAAAACTATCATTTGAATCAGATTTAACCCATATGCATTGTCACCAAAAGAAAAACTGTTAAAAATGCAAAGAAAAATACATCTTGAAATGGATTCTGCTGGCACATTCTCCATCATCGTCAACTTTGATGTGGTAGAACTATAAAAAGATCAACATTATAGAGCAAGGGCAAGCCAAGCAGTTTTGCAGAGAAAAAACAATGCTAATAACAATTAGAGCAAATGACACAGCATCCACAGCATGCTGCACCCTTGATTTCAACGAAATCAGGCTTCCCAATGTGATAAATATTAAATTGTATCTAAAATTCAAATTTTAAATGTTGATACATTAAATTGTCGATGTTTTAAGTGCTCGTTCGTTTTTATGAATTTAAAATTAATTAAATTATTATATAATTATATTTCAAGAATAATAAATTAGATCATTAACTATTAAATTAAGGCTTCGCCGCCATTTATTTTGAGAAGGAAAAGAAATCCAAGATTCACCATAAAGACATTATCTAGCTTCCCTTTTCCGTAGTGATGGCACGTGTCCCTCCATCTTGTTTGTTTGATTGTTTTCATTCATCCTTCAAGGAAAAAAACAGGCAGGTTGTTTTCCTACAGCGTTTGATTTTTTTTTCCGGGGTGGAGTGAAAGCCGAGAAATGAGATGAGAATAATTTAATTCTCTCTCCAGTCCCCTCCCTCTGTTTCCATATTCTGTTAAACAACATGGAATGTATAATCCAGTTCTGATTACAGATTGCGTATGAGAATAAATAATCTTTTTTTTTCTCTCTTTTCCAAACCAAGCAAAGGAATTAGCCCAATTTAATTGTTTCGTTTGTTAACTTGTAACCGCACATTTCCTTTTAAAGCATTGGAATTAGATTCACTGCTTTTATCAGTCCCACTTGAATTCTTCGATCTGTCTCTTGGTTCTCGAGATATCTATTTAATTCCACCAAGGGAATTCCCAAAATACAAGTTGCCTTCTGCCGCTCCTTCTTCTCTCCTTACTTTCCAGCTTCATTTTCCTCCCGGTTTCATCGTTTCTCCTCCTAATTTCCGGCCAAGATTAAAAGCTATCCGCGCCGTAGGTTATATTCTTTCATTTTTTTTATTTTATTTTTTATTTGCTTGTTGCATGTTGAATTTAGCTTTTGCATTTTGGAGCTTATTTTCTTTGATTGGTTGTGGTTGAGAATGAGGGAACTGTTTGTTTCGTGGAAGTTTTTATTTCGTTGAACTTTTGTTAGTTTTGATTAATAGATTCGCATTTTCGGTGTTAATTGGAACATATTTTCGAAGATTCTCAGGCTCGGAACTTAACTTGGTGCATACTACGTGATCTTTTGATTTGTCTCCTGAGGTAAGATTTTAAGTTTCCGTCTAAATATCTACAGAAAAATCTCATTGTTTACTTTTACTGGTCAGTAGCCTCTCTTATGGCTTCCAAATAGTATATGCCTTTAATAGCTACTTTAGTTAATAAAGTGAGTTTTCAGAAAGAAAGAAAAAAACCACAAAGTGCTGGCCACCAGGGTTTATAATAATTTTTTCGGAATAATGCTTGGTGGCGTGTGTTACAAGTTAATATCAATTACCTGGTTGGTCTCTATGCTCTAAAACTTGCATTCTCGCAAAATTCTTATGGTGACATGTCATGAGTTTTGAGTCGTGAATATCTAACTGTTTTTTGTTATTCAACTTTTTATCTTCATTGTTAATTATCTAAAATAAGGATCAAACAGAATGCGGATCATTGTTCATTCTACATTAATGCTAATCTGGTTCTCCCTGCTAATCCATTTAGGTGCTAATCAGTCAGAGTCTCGCTACTTAATGGACTATGGTGACGGGGCCATGTTAGGTGACAAAGTATTACAATCCCATGGTGGTGAGAAACCACATGTATGGTCATCTTCTGAAGGAGGATGTAAAATTGATATAGGAAAACAGATTTTCTGCAACAGATCATTGAATATGAGGAATATTGTTGCTGTTGGATTTGATATGGATTATACCTTAGCTCAATACAAGCCTGAGACGTTTGAGTCCCTTGCATATGAAGGCACAATAAGAAAATTGGTATATGATTTGGGCTATCCTCAAGAGGTTTGTCAACTTTCCACATTTTGTACATCATCTTGGAAAGAATGTTTCCAAAGTTTGAGTGGTATGTAGAGGCATGCTGATAAGGATAAAATTTGATGCAGTTACTAGAGTGGACATTTGATTGGAAATACATGGTCAGAGGTTTGGTCCTTGACAAAAAGAGAGGCAACATCTTAAAGGTTGACTCACTTTCTGCTATAGATTCTCCATTGCCAATTTGATGGAATATTTATCCGTCTCTGTCATCCACTTTGCTTGAAAACAATCTGTATTTATGGTTGTCTTTTACAGATGGATCGACATAAGTATGTGAAAGTAGCATATCATGGCTTCAAAGAGTTGTCCAAGGAAGATAAAGTTGGCATCTATGGGAATAGGCTCATACGGGATACTTTTGATGAGCCAGATTATGCCCTTATAGATACACTATTTTCACTAGCTGAAGCATACATGTTTGCACAACTTGTTGACTTTAGGGACAAGAACCCTGGAAAAGTTCCCGAGTAAGAAATTTTTTCCTGCTTATCATGTATTATGTACTTTTTGTTAGTCTTAAAAGTTCTATATTACCAATTTTTTCTACTCTTTTGGAATATTATAATAATTTTTGGAGACCTATTATCAATTAGGTGGTCATTTATTCATCATCACTGCAGTAAGTAGTCACTGCATGTAGAAGCATCTATGAAGATAATATGTTTTAAAATACCGCATTGTGGTTGGAATTTAGATATGATCCAGCTATATAGTTGCTGGACATAAATGTAATAAACAAACTCCGTGGTTTGATCCTTGACTGCAGCATATAGTGGCAGAATTATTAGGTATTTGAGTCTTAATTATTTTTATCTGGTTTTGTATATTAAGCAATGCCTACTATATATGATGCTTTCAGATACTTTCACATGTACAAAGATGTTCGGGCTGCCGTTGATTTGTGCCACCGAGATGGAACCTTAAAGCAAATGGTTGCCAAGGATCCTAAAAGGTAAGTTGAAAAGAGGTGTTAGTATTATAATTTGGTTTACAAGTTACTACTAAGTTTCCTAACCGTTGTGAATCTCTATTTAAATTCACAGGAAGACTTTAAAATGGGACAGACTGATCTTTGTTTGAGCATACCTTGTAATGCATTTTGTAGAGGTTTTCATATAGTTTTTTCCATTTCATTGTCAGGTACATCAATGAGGATACTGCTATAGTACCTATGCTCAAAATGCTAAGGAATTCTGGACGTTCAACGTTCTTGGTGACAAACAGGTAGATACTTCTTGGTGATTTCAAATTTTAATTGTTTAGGCCAAGGGTAATATGGGATTCAGTGCAAAATTTCTAGTCTTTTTTTTTGCCCCCAGTAGGAGAAAACATAATGTACATATTCTACGGATGGTTTTTTCTTTCATATTTGAATGATTCTTGAGGTTTTTTTTCCAATTGAAAATGTTATATTCATTACCTATTTGATTTCCAGTTCCAAAAGGTTGTGCACAACAATCAGTTGATTCTTGATTATATCTCTTGCAGTTTATGGGACTACACCAATATTGTAATGAATTTTCTATTTGCATCGCATGCATTGGATGATGGTATTAATTGCAATTTTGATTGGCTCCAATATTTCGATATTGTCATCACTGGCAGGTCATTTTTTTTTCATATTATAGATTGTGAATGTTGGTGTTTTGACCCTTCACAATTTGCACTTATGAATTGGTTTCAACCAAGTTTAACATAATCCTAATATTAATTTTGGTTTTATTAATGTATGGCACATGTTAGGTCAAATTCTATGGTTGGTACCTATGTTATGCTTAATTATGGATTTAGTACCTATAATCTAATTTGTCAATTTAGTCCCTGTACGTTTCAAAGCTTGAAAATTCTATCTTGACTTTAGTAATACAGAGACAGTAAAATTAACTTACACGAGTTAAAATGATAAATTGGATAACTGGAATTAAATCTACAACTAATCTATAATATAGAGGCTAATGGCATAATTTAATTTAACAGCTTTAACAGCTACTGTATGGATAAAGGCTGAAATTTCAAAAATTGGAAAGTACAGTGATTAAAAGATTAATAGATCAAATTGAATTACAGGGACTAAATTCATAACTCGTACATAGTACAAGTACTAATCATAGAATTTAACTCAAATGTTATCTGTTCTATACTTTGTTTTCTGATTCTGAAAATGAAAGCATTCATACAGTGCAAAACCTGGCTTCTTCCTTGACAACTGTGCCAATATTTTTGAGGTTGAACCTGAGTCTGGAATGCTCCTCAATACTGACAATGGCACTCCTATGCCTCAGGTTGGGTGAAATATGCTTTTCTCATTCAGTATTCACTTAGCAGAGTGCTTTTTTAATCGTAATTTACTGATCTAAGCTTTATTTTGATAAAGGTGGGAAATACTTCACTGAAAGTGCTGCCAAAGGGATTAAGCAAAAGATGCAGAGTTTTCCAGGTATTTTGAATATTGTCTAGTACTAAAGAGTGGATTTCTGTCTTTACCAAATTTTCTTCGAACTTGTCAGGGAGGCTGTGTTGGTCATCTACATAAGTTGCTTTCAGTAGAGTCAAGTTCACAGGTGATTCTTTATTTGATTTGTTGTATCATTAATGACTTGTTGACTTCATAAGTTTTTTTTTTATTTTGGATCATTGTATCTTTAGTTTGTTGAATTACATACCAAGTACTCTACATATTTTGGTCCCTGAGTTAACTGGTGGCTTTTGTTTCATTGTTGTCCTCATAATCTAACTCGTCTCGTGCTTATATTATTTTTTTGAACCCTAGTGATTATATATATATTTTTTGAAACTCGCGTGATTATATTATTATTATTTTTGAAACCCCTCGCGATTATATTAGGTTGTCTATGTTGGGGACCATATCTATGGAGATATTTTGCGCAGCAAGAAGGTTCTTGGTATATCTATCTCTCTACTCCATTTCCCTTTTTGTTGTAGCATCTAAATCGATCATAATTGTTTAATTTAATCATGTGAAATTGAAAATTTGGAGCTTTAAACCCATCTGAGTAGGAAAATTCTAATATATCAAAGTCTATGGAATAAAAAGAGGTTTGGTTTAAAGGGGTTTGTATTATTAATGCCGAACTGTTAGATGGAATTTTGACTGCTATTATCTTTGCCTAGACTGAAAATATCCAATTAATTATATTCAACACTTGAAATGCAGAAGAATGTAGGAACGATAAATCCTGAATCAAATGCAATGTTTATACCTGATAGAATTAGATGATATTAATTGTTATATTTGCTTGTACAAGTATGCAATATTTCTTATGATTTCATTGTGCTTTTGGGAACTCAATTTTGTGTCATCAAAATTTATATATTTTATTTCCCTTTAACTGTATCTTGATCATGATTTTAAAATAAGCGAATAATATATATGATGCTGACATTGTTTCTCTTGATGCATGAGAGCTTTGAATTCTGTAATTTTTCTATGATTAGGATGGAGAACAATGCTTGTTGTTCCAGAGCTTGAGAGGGAGGTCGAATTGCTTTGGGAATTAAGAGAGAAACGAAAGGTGGATTTACATGTTTGATGTTTGTCATGGTATTTAAAGTTTGTATCAGACTGCTTGGGTAATTTATTGTACAACTTTATTTCATTAAGAAGAATGTGTTGTAATCACACAAGTGGCATAACTTGGCCGATATTCTGCTTTTGTCTTGATAGGAATTCGTTAGTCCATATCTATATTGTCTCATGGTCCAGCTATCCGTTTAGTAAGATTTGAGGGGAATTCAGCCCAAAACATGTAGAAGCTTTAAAGCATGAGAACTCTTACTACGTTCCTGTTTTATAATAGCATTTTATTCCCTTGCAACTGATCGATACATGTACTTTCATGCAGCAACTAAGGTTGTTGAGGAATGAGCGTGATCTTGTTGAAGACCAAGTTCATCATTTGAAGTGGTCTCTCAAGTAAGTACTGATTTTAAGATTTTATCATTCAAATTGATGTCATCAATTCTGCTACCCCTTAATGATGACTTTAGTACTAATACACCTCCAGTTTTCACACATAATGACGAAATGAAAAATTCTATTTCAAATCATTACTACAAATGAGAATTTTCATCTTTGCTTTAGTAATTTTTTATTATTATTTGTGTTGGTTCCTTTTCCTTTCATTCTCATTTTAGCAAAGAGTTGTTGTTACTTAGATTTGAAAGTCTTCGTGATGATGAAAAGCGGAATATGATTTCAACTCTGGGTGATTTGGAGGTTTGGCCTTTAGACCTTGATTTATTTTAATCTAGTGGCAGATGGAAGGTTTGAAACTGTTTAATGATATGAATTTCAACTCTTTTTTAACAGTCTCGAAGGGATCAAGTGCGCCTTGCTCATCAACAGGCTCAACGGGATTGTCACCAAAAGGTAGAACAATTTTTTTTCATCTTGAGATTATTTTCAGATGTCAAGGGGGCTATCGGGCTTAAGCGGCCATTGAATAAAGATACTTACAAATGACTTTTATTTGTTAACAAAACAGTTCCATAGGATATGGGGGCAACTCATGAAGACTGGCTATCAGAACTCTCGCTTTGCTCATCAGGTACCTACCATCACCTTCTTTTGATAGGGGTTTTGAAGGATTCCAAAAAACTTCCTAGATTACTGTATCATTTATCACTTGCAATTTCCTATACACTTGGCTCGATGCAGGTTGAGAGATTTGCCTGTCTTTACACAAGCCAGGTCTCCAACCTAAGCTTGTATTCCCCAGACAAATACTATAGGCCAAGTGAGGATTTCATGCCTCACGAATTTCATATTCTTCCCATGTGAAAGCTGTTCCTACTTCCTTTGCCGAGAACTGAAGGTAATGCTGTCTGTCAAAGAAGCAAATAACTTGTCTTTCGTGTTTTGATGCCATAGAAATAAAGCCTCAACCTCCGTCATCTTACCTAAGTTGAGGAGCTTTATTGTACTTGGATTTACCCATTTACATTCGCACTTGATAGCAAAAATATCTGTAGTCATTGATCCTCGTTTAGAACATACTGCTGTTTTCTGGATCTTTTATTTTCTTAAAAATAATGTACATTCAGTTGCTGGTGTTGGATATTATCTTCTAAATATGTGGAAAAAAAGATTGTGCTGTTAGACATCTAATATCACATCGTTTAAGTGTGAATATAATGAAAGTATTTCTTTGGATGTACACAAGATATGTAACTGATTATAACAATTTGAAAATCGCTGCCTGTGAGCAAGAGATTCCAGCTTCAAGTACATTACTGTTCAATGTATTATCAGTGGTCGTATTTTAAATTGATGGATAAATTACACATAGTATGACATTGCAGTTTTGGGACTAAGATGTCCACTCGCCCAAAACCAACATACTGAATGGATAGACTTGAGATCATGGAATTCAGTTCTGCACCGGTACCGTTCTAGTAATAAATTGAAACACTTCAAATTTTTATTTCTGCTCTCGTTTAAATTCCCGTATGGATGGGTTAATTCTGGTCGCATTGACTGAAGTATTGTGCATCGGTTGGTGTATGATTAAGGTTGAAAAAAAATCAAATGATCATTTATTATATATATATATTATACATTTTTTCAATTCAATTAAACAATGATTTCACTTATATTATTTGACTGTAAATTTATAAAACAGTTTTGAAATTAATCAATTTTTAAGGGTAAACTATTCCAATTGACCATCTAATTATCTAGCATTTTTACTTTTGCCACTGATCTTTTAATTTTGTCAATCTGACTACATAACTATTTAATTGTAGTCAATCAAGCCACTAGCCGTTAATAGTTGACAAAAATTGATACATGCACAACACGTCACAGGACAAAAGAAGATGGACTGACTCTTCCACTTGGTCCAATCACCGGGCCAAGTCTAAACTTCTGAAAGACAAGCTTCAAGTTGCGGTTCAAGCCTTTGTTAGCAAGGGACTTCATGCTCACATGGATATTGAAGAATTCGATGAAGTTGAAACAACTTCAGGATCAATTAATGACACAACTAGAGACAATCCTGAAAATATCTTTAAAATCCCTTAAAGGATCAATTTCTAAATGTTACAATTTTTCAATACTCTATTGATTATTTGTAATATAATTTAAATGCATTATATTTGAGAATTAGATTGATTATTTTATTAGGAATTAAGATCAAGTTAAAACATTATTCCTAGTTTATTATTATCTTATTAGGAATTAGGATAGACTCGAAACATTATCTTTTATTCATTAGTCATTTTACAACAAGGACTTCTCACCCTATATAAAGGAGGCTCCTCCCACCATTGTAATCACATATTTTCTTGAATATAATACAATGAGAGTTCGTTTTTGCAAGTACTGATTGTCTTGTGCCTTCGAAGCATTCTTCATCATTAAGTTCTTTCAAGTTCTTCGTAAGGGAGATCTTCACACACTGGTTTGCCTTCTCATTGCGATTATGAGGGCTGTTTAGAGCCTATTATCGAGTTTGCCTAGTCAATTGCAACTAGGAGGGTTCGAAGGACAACTATCTATCAATCATCATCATCATCATCATCGAATCACCATTCTCGTCCATCACCAACAAAACCCTAACTTGGCTAAGTTATTCATATCATATTATTATTATTTTCCCTTATCTTTATTGTTTTAATCTTATTCTTCTTATTTGATTTCTAGCAAACCCTAAAAACCTTAATTGCCACTATCCATCCATCTCTTTCCCTTTCATTCTTTGATCGAGTCTAGATCTTTCTAGGTTTGATTCTTCAACGACGAGAAACATTCATAACTCCGCTGCCATTCTTTATCAAAAATACTGATGTAATATTAAGCAAATGTCCAACCACTGAGCCAAGTTTACTTCTTAATTTAAAGTAGACATATTTTATTTTTATATATATTTTGTATCATAATGTATAAATGTCACACCCTGATTTTCATTGGAGTTGATTTGAATTTAATTTTATTTAATTTTGGGGAATATTTTGTAAAGAGTTAAAAATTTTAAGGAAGTTTTTAAAAACCCTAAAAGTTTAAGGACTTATTCTCTGATTTGATCAAGGTTGGTCAACAAAGGATTTTTTTTAAAAAGGGAAGATATTTTCAAACATGTGGTTAAGGGAGATTGAACCCTTAACCACTAGCATGGGTAACCATGCCCTAACCATTAGGCTAAGCCACTATTTGTGTTTACTTATTGTAAAAATAAATTTTCTAGAATATTTCAATTGGGATTTTAAATCCCTAAATTTTTCCTCATTCACAAACGAAAAATCCCCAATTGAGAGCTTTCATCATTATTTTTCCCTATCATCGATTACCGCCATCTTCGTCGTCCGTGACTTGCGACCAAAATCCAACTGGTCGATCGTCGTAAAGGTCCGTCGTTCGCTGCAAATCGACCGTCGAAGGTTCTCAAGAGAAACCAAAATCATCTTCGCTATTTTCTTTATTTCACGCCGATTTTGACGACCGTTCACCACACCGCCCTCACCGACGTGTTCACCGTTTAACCGCTAGCAAAGCCCAACCACCCTTGCTATCGTTAGCCATTAATCACCATTCAAATGTTTGACGAAGAACTAAATTGTCGTAGTTGTTTTTTCTTAATTTCTGGTTGATTACGACGTTCGATCGTCGCATCGTCACTAGGGTTGTAAATGAGATGAGACAGATCGCGAGCTACTCGAGATCGACTCGATCAAGGCTCGATAAATACTCGAATCGAATGGACTCAACTCGAGCTCGACTTGAGTTCTTAACGATCCTAAACGAGCTACTCGATATTCGACTCGAAAAGCTCGTGAGCAGCTCGAAAAAAATGCTATATTATAATTTTAGATTTTTTAAAATTACATTATTAAAAATATATTAAAAATACACTATTGATAATTATAAAAATTTAAAAATATATTAAAAATTCTATAATACAACTAACCTCAGATTTTAATTAATGTCCTTGTAATAAACCTTAAACCCTAAATCTTAAACCCTAAATAATAAATTATAAACCATAAACCATAAGCCCTAAATTATACTTACCTCATAAATCGGTACCAAGTCGATTAATTAATATATTTGCAATAAACTCTAAACCCTAAATCCGATTATGTGATAGAGGTTAAGTTATGCACATGAAGGTAACATACAAATTATGCAAAATGATGTTATGTGACTCCTAAATAAATCAATCACATACTTATACATAAACATATCAACATGCAAAATAAATATACACAACTAATTAAAGAAAACAATCCTGAACAGGGACTAAATTAAGAGAAATCTAAATGTGAGGACTAATTTAAGCTAAATATACTAACTTTAGAATGACGATTAAATTCACGTAAATGTAAAATTAAACTTACAAAATCGGAATTAAACCAATGACTTAAATTCAAAATGCACATAAACTATGGGGTCTTATATGCAATTGATCCTATTCGATTTAAGCTAAAATAATATGGAAAATAACATAAATGACACACAAACATTTAAAACAAATAAGAAAATTTAAACAAATGTGATTGAAATACAAAAATTAAAATATAACATACTAAACTATAAATTTATTAAACATGCATATACATATTAAACTAATGACTAAATTTAAATAAACGTAAAATTCAACATACAAATCAAGAATTAAATTAGGGATTTACAAAAGGGTGCTCAAGTTTGGGGGACTATAACTTAATTTACCAAAAAATTAATATGAAACCTCCAAGTTGTAATTAGTTTATATTAAGTTGACTGCTCAGTTTGTCTCTTTCTGTGCGGAAAAATCAAGTCTCGTCTCCCTCTTGAAGCTTATGTTTACAGCCATAACAAAGCAAACAATGCTAAAACCTATCTTGGGAAGGTTCGCCTCACCTCAACATCATTTGTGCCGTATATCGATTTTGTTGTTTTGCAATACCCTCTTGAAAAGCGGACTGTTTTCTCTCGTGCTAAAGGAGAGCTTGGTTTGAAAGTGTTTGTTATTGATGACCCTTCGATCGAATCATCGACTCCTCTTCCAGCCACGGAGGAAGCAGTCCCAAATTCATTTCCCAAAGAGAAAAATGGTAAAAGACATACATTTCATCATCTTCCAAATACAAAGCAGTCGGAACAACATCAAAAGTTTACTACAATGCCTCCGCAACAACAGATGACTTATGGAGTACATGAGATGAAATCTGGACCGCCACCATCAAGAGCCGTTCATATGTTCTTGGGTTCATCATCACAACCACTTGATTATGCTCTTAAAGAGACAAGTCTATTTCTCGAAGGAGGACGAATTGTTGGAGGCCGAGTCATACGAGGAGACAGACCAACTAGCACCAATGACCTTGTTGAACAGATGAGATTCCTTTTTGTGCGAGTGGTGAAAGCCCGAGATCTTCCTTCAAAGGATGTGACTGGAAGCCTTGATCTGTATGTCGAAGTGAAAGTTGGAAACTACAAAGGAATCAAAAAGCATTATGAGAAGAAACAAAATCCAGAATGGAATCAGGTGTTTGCCTTTTCAAGGGACACGCTACAGTCATTTGTGCTAGAAGTTGTTGTCAAGGATAAGGATTTGGTGAAAGATGACTCAACAGGTGGAAGAAAGAATAAATAGAAGAGATTCGTAAAGCTGCTGAGAAGGAAAACGAAGGAGGAAAAGGCAGCATGAAGGTGAAGATGGTGCTTACAAAAGAGGAGCTCGAGTTGTTGTTAGTGAAGTGAAGAATAAGAACAACAATAATGGCGAGTATCGGTTAGGGGAACTTTTGGCTGAAATGGAGAAAGCTAGATCAGTTAAAGTGGAGTGTTGTTTGAGGCCTTCATTGGAGAATATCATGGAAGATGAAGAAGACGATGTTATCAGTTCATGAAAGCGTCAATCCATCCTTTTGTAAACTATTATTATACCCTTTTACTTAGCTAACATTTTTTGTTTTGGATCTTCGGGTTAGTGAGTGATGAACCGAGTTAGGCCTTAGGAGTTTTTGGCTTTGAAAATAGATTACTATCTCTTTCTCTTTTTTACTGCAACCTTGATCTGGAGAAGGAGATGGGGATCGGAGTTGAAGGTGGGGTGTGAATTTGGACAACCCTATTGATGTTACTATTGCTGAGCTATTTGAAAATAGTTCATATCCCACA